ACCCTAAAATTATGTTACAGCTGTACTGAAAACTTAGAAAAAATTATTAAGAAACATAATGCTAATATCTTGAATTAGCACTTAGACCAAGACCAAAGAAATTTAGGCAGTATAATAATAAAAAGGGATGAAGATAAACAAAAATTATGTAACTGCAGAAATCCTCATAACTGTCCTCTTAATAATAAATGTCGCACTGAATCATTAGTATACCAATGCAATATCTCATCTATTGAGGATCCAGACAACGTAAACGTCTACATTGGATGCACAAGACATAAGTTCAGGAAATAGTTCAACCAACATCAAAGTTCTTTCAGGATAAATAAATACAGAAATCAGACGTCCCTATCGAAATATTTCTTAAAAGAAACCAATAAAACACCCACTGTGAAATGGAAATTAATAAGAAAGGCTAAAATATGTAGGTCATTGAATGAATCATGTCGTTTGTGCATACATTAGAAACCATATATTACTATGTTTATAAAAAATTACTTAATCAAAGAAATGAAATAGCTATTCTTTGCCGACATTGTCAAAAAATTTTAAGTAATGTTTAATTAAAACCAAAAGAAATGATAAATGAAATATACATATTTCTATTTGATATTAAATAATAATTTTTAAATAATTTAAGTAATTCTATTGCATTTATTTGTTTTAAATGATGTATAGTCTTTTAGTAATTAAAATTAAGAATAATATTTTAAAATTGTAGTTCAATACGACGTATTCATATACAAACAGCCCTTTTAGAAAAAAACTTTCTGTATACAAGTACAAATTTAATGGTGAAACAAAAGTGCCGAAAAACTTTTTGTTGAAAAAGACCATACGACATGCGTTGAGCGGATGTTATCATTCGTTGAAAAAAGGCACCCCTACCCTACCTTGATTTAACCTCTTTTCGAAAGTAACTCATATTTAGATACAATAGCTGTCAGTGAAAATGAGTATCCTACCGCCTCTTGTTAAATGATTGAATTTCCTCATATCCTTAGAAACTAATATTATGAATGTATGTGCTTATAATACTCATTAAATTTCAAAATGAGTTATTCCAAAATTCGCTTGAAAATGAAACAGAACTAAGGATTTTAATTTAATTCTATAACTGAATTTGAAGTTTTTAGCTTCTGTTTTTGAAAGATGGTAATTGCTGTGTAGCGATAGGAGCATATTTTTAAATTAGAAAAAAAAAAAAAAAAATATATATATATATATATATATATATATATATATATATGTATGTATGTATGTGAAGAAATATAGTTTTTAGGTGTGCTATATTTATGGGATAAAGTGCTCAATATCAGTATATGTAAATATAAATATAAAAGAAGAGCATTGAAGTCAACACTCAGAGGCAACAGGTTGTTTCATGCCTAACGATTGCGTCTAACATGAAACAGTCTGTCCCTTCTGAGTGTCAACCTCAATGTTCACTTTTATATTTACATTAGATAGATAGATAGATAGATAGATAGATATTAAAATCCCTCATATCCGGAAACCTCATATCCAGAGTGCCTCATATCCGGAATCCCGCATATCCGGATGTGATTTTGGTGTCTATATTTGAACTATTTGGGTGATAAGTAACTGATTTCTGTTTTTTTCCGGAGATTTTCTTTAGATAATTGCTTATGCTTATTTCACCCTAATGGCTTGTATTGGGACAAATGATTCTACTATATACATAATATTAAATACTGATTGTAAAGTACTGTATATCAATGATGATAACGTGAGAAAATGTTTGTAAATATCAGCTACATTTGCTTCTATGAAAAGAAAGGAACCTTTCGCTACTCTTAGTTTTCATTTGTTCTAATAGATTATCAGCTTAGTTTTTATTTACTTCATTGACAATTATTAGGTTGGAAAGTTCTTTCGGTAGCTAATACAAAGTGTAGGAAGCCGGCACTACATCCGGGTGTTTTTTTTTCGAGATATCATCTCTAGAAAGACTGCCACCCAAGACTAAAGACTTCTTTCAAGCCATGAAGTGGATTATCTGCAAAGCTCTTGAATGGGATGCATGCAACAAACTTCATAAGATTTGACTCTCAAACCTTCCATTCTCCTTAAAAGTCCAAACCTTTCGAACATTGACTGAACCAGTTCTACTCTATGGATCCTAAACATCTGTTCGTCTGGATGGAACAGATACAAATCTACTTAGATAAATCCAGAACATCAGTTGGAGATTCCATGCAACGCTTAACACAATTTACGGAGAACTGAGATCAATATCTCTTAAGCTGAAACAAAAATGATTACAGAAGAGACTTTTCCAGACACCATAGCATTGACACTCAGGGTTGGACATTAGGGATCTGAGGACAGCAATACAGGACCGAACAGTGTGGAAAGGGATTGTCAATGGAGTTCCGACTAAGCATAGGGAAGTCGAAGGATGATGAGTTCGGAAATCCTGTCGCATTTGATAAGGAAAAAGAAAAAAACACTTATTTGGTGTTAATTTCATATATTTAATCAAACTATTTTCTCTGATGATCGATAAAATAATCTCATCTATTTAGCAAATTTTTTATTTCTCGGTCTTAAATGTTTTCAGCTTTCAATGCAAAAAACGTTTAGTATAACTTTTAACCTCTTCAAAATCAATAGACTATATTCCCTTTAAAATGTTACAATCATTTGAAACGATGATAATCAGATGGAGCAAGGTCAGGAAAGTAAGGAGGATGAGACAAAACTTCCACATTTACTACCATAATTTTTTCTTGGATGACTCGAGCAGTATGTGATATTGTATTATCACATAAGAGTAAGACACCATTACAATTAAGTAACGATAAACACTTTGAAATCCTTTTTATGTAAATGCTTCCAGTTGACATTGCCTGTTTCGTTTCTGCTTATCATTTCATGATAGTTCATGACCTTTATATCCAACCGAATAACATTTTTCCTATGTACTTATGGTTGTAAGATATATTCTCCTTTTTTAGTAGCCTCTACCTATTTTCTTTTTTGTTGGATCTGGTAATAATGCACCCACTTTTCATCACTGGTGATAATTCTACCCAACAAAAAAAAAAGTTCAGTAACAAGCCTACATTTTAATGACGGGCAGACAGTAAGTATTGACCAAGTTTAGACACTTTATCTAGGGGCATTTTACGATGGAAGCGTTACTTATATTGAATTATTTTACTAATTCTCCTACAAGTTGCTTAGTTTTCTTTATGAATTACAGTTTGGAGAAAGCTGAATATGGAGAGAACTTTGCTCTTCCAGATTGAAGGGCATTGAGAGAGAAAATTTCCTGATCGAAACTAGCTCAGGCATCCTTAGCATGTCCGGACACTTAAAGCTTAATTTGCATAGACGTAATGAATATTTCTTCTTGGATTCATACAACATCCGGTGTCTATTATGGATCTGATTTAATCTCATTTTAAAAGGTTTAAATTGACACAATTTATCCTGTATTAAGTAGTCTGAAAAGACAGAAAAAGCAGTAGAATATTGTATATTAATATTTATTTTATTGTAAATATTGAAAAAAGTGACCTTGCAAAAATACGACTGTACTTTGTTGCCAACCTAATACTTGATGCCATTGCCTCAAATGCTAAGATAATGTTTATTCAAAGAATGGGGATTTGTCATTTTAATGGGAATCAGCGTGAGTACGAATACAGAATAAATTTGAAAACGTTTTCTGAGCAATTGTAGTATTTAATCAAAGCGGAATTAAAATAAATTCAGGAATAATTAAACATATTAAAGTATTTTATCTGTCACTTGCTTCAAGTTAAGAAAGAATTTAGTATTGAGAAATCAGTCAGTTATGTGCCATGCGTGATACACGCTTAGGCGATCATATATCTTTTCGATACATGACTGACGAGGCAGATTTTATTTCTGCAGTAGGTTGCCATTGCTTTCTGCGGTAGACCAGTTTCCATCCAAGGCTATAGAACCTGGTCTGTCCTGCTATTTACCCATAGCTAGGGGAAGAAGAAGAAGAGGATTCATACCTTTCCCAAAGGTATTAGCACATGACTGACGAGGCAGATTTTATTCCCGCAGTAGGTTGCCATTTCTTTCTGCGATAGAAAGGCTATAGAACCCGGTTTGTCCTGCTATTTACCCATAGCTTAGAGGAGAAGAAGGCTATTATCAGGTAAGTGAATATAATGGATTTTGACTGGAATTCGAACTCGGCTCTCCGATTCCTCAATCCGAGCCGCTATCCATTACTCTGCCGTTTCCTATTGAGAAATACAACTTCTGTACATGATTCATTTCTTTTCAGTCACATAAAATATTTTAAATGATACATGACCCAAAAGTCACTCTTCGCTTTCTATAATCCGAAAACAGATTCCATTGTTGCTCATCATCTTAAAGCGTTTGAAAATGAAGGATGACAGTGTTAGATATTTATTAACCGTATATTAGTCTATTACAATACAAAAATGGCGGGATTTACTTAGATTGGACACATTCTCGTGTAATGATAACAGCGTTTTCAAAATAGCAAACATATAACATCAAATCAAATTACGCTTAAATCTACGATGCGGGGTTCAGCATCCAATTTCGAGTGGGCAATGTGTTTACTTGGCCGGGCAGGTATCCTCTTCAATCGACAAGTTGCTTGGGACCAAAAATATAAATTCACAAATACGTGAGGCTACACATTTTCCTTTTTCTATTATGTGAATTTCCGTGTGATTCTTCTAAATTGTAAAGATGCATCGTAGAATTATTTCGAGTGTAAATTATTTGCATGATATAAACGGAGACATTGACAGGAGCAATCGTTGTCAATGTCTATCATTAGAGAAAGAAAGACAAATAAAAAAGAAACTATTGCTTGTAAAATCTTGAAAAATTCAAGCATAAGTCATTTAATCAAATAGGCAGATGTATGATAGAAGTATGGGCCGCAAAAGAGGGAATTGATAGCAAATCAGAAGTAGAGAAAAAAATAAACACGGAGTAACTAAATATCTGAGATGAAAGAACTAAACAATTGCCTGAGTAATATCTATCTATCTATCTATCTATCTTTATATCTATCTATCTATCTATCTATCTATCTATCTATCTATCTATCTATGTTTATATCTATCTATCTATGTTTATATCTATCTATCTATCTATCTATCTATATTTATATCTATCTATCTATCTATCTATCTATCTATCTATCTATCTATTTCCCCTTCAATACATCTGTAATATCTTCAGACATCTCAGATCCATGCTTCATGAATAATTCACTCTAGTCTGCAATCACGTCCACCGTATGTTCACGCATTTTTGTTCTTTTTTGATAAGAATAAATTAAAAGAAAAAAATCGCCATCTTGTTTCTCCTGTCCTTGCTTCATTATTGACTTTATCATTCCATTACTAGTCCGCTTCGTTAAATCAAGGTTAATTGATGCCGAGTCGAAAATAGTACTCATACTAAGACTTGTCTCCAATTTCAGCTCCGAATATTGTTTATTTTGCCATTATTATTGTTGTTACATACGTTTCTCCCCTTATTCGCCAATTCAAAACCTGATTCCGAAGAGTCTGTATATAAATAGGTTTGCTTGTGGTCTGTTATTTAAAATATGTTTATTATCGTTAACATCAAACTTGTTCAATTCTGTGTAAAACGGTGAAAGATTAAATAAGAAACAAATGGGAAAATCTTTATAAATTTGACATGTTTCGTTCTTTATTTAGCTTCATCAGAAATTTCATTTTTATATCGTTAGTATATATGAGTGAGTGTTCTGTGTTTATATCTTAGTACCTGTGTGGAGAAACACAGTATAATGGAATGGGTACGCTGGTGTGTTTTTGATTGCATGATAAATATTAAGAATGTCGGTAATTGAATATGGAATATTAAGTAAAATTTCATCAGGAAATGTATGGTGTGTTTTCGTCTATTTTAATTTGCTTTGCTTTCGATTTCACGTGTTGTTTTGTGCAAATTTCACGTGTTGCTTTGTTCAGATTTCACATGTTGTTTTGTTCAGATTCTACGTGTTGTTTTGTTCAGATTTCACGTGTTGTTTTGTTCAGATTTTACGTGTTGCTTTGTTCAGATTTCACGTGTTGTTTTGTGCAGATTTCACATGTTGTTTTGTTAAGATTTCACATATTTATCCTGCGGTCTTCGTATCTGCATATAAGTCTCAAATTTGTAGTGGGCGTTCTGTGACTCCATTATGGCTTCTGTCTGTCTTTAAATAGTATTAAAATTTTATTATTTATTTTGTTCGAGAAATGTTTAGTGTATATAAAAATATTGCTATAATGGCGGTTTTATCTGTTATTCCCTCATGATGACAATAATAATATTCAATCAATCTTATATTGACAACTACCTAATAATTTTATGCATGATAATGATAAAACATTGGCTTTAATAACATAAAAATGTAAATTAAATATGTTATTAATTCAGACAGACAGATATTTCAATAAAGTGCAATTATCTACATTATTGTCCTCATCTTTGTCGCCATATTTATTACAACTGTTACGGTCTTCTTCAGGTGGTTGGAATGTCGAACTTAACCCTTAACTGGGGTACACTGTTCTAGTTCCACGTGCCATATTTAATGGATGTCAGTTCTCAGTTATCTCCTGTTAATTCCCCCCTCCAAGTTCTCCACTGCCTTAACCGAGTATTGAACTCACACTCTTTGGGACCTGACACTGGATCTAACTAACGCCTTGAGAACATCTGTGTATGAATTTTTGGGTATTATAAACTTAATGTCTTCAGCAATGATTTTTACCAGAGCTCATATTGCAATTTTTGTTGTTATTATTGCTTTTCTCTGGCACACCTTATTACTGGTTCCCACAACGGCCGAAACGTTGTAATAAATATGGCGTCAAAGATGAGGACAATAGTCTGAATAATGTAAATAATGTACGTAATAACTCATCTCGGAAATATAGACAGATTCTTAAGTGCAAATTTAAATCCTTAAACAAATTAAATTTATTTGCCGATAGATTATTTTTCCTAAACAAATACAAATAAAAACTTGATCAGTCCATTTAGTGATGGAGAATATTTTACCAAAAATCTGTCGAAAGAATAATCTGAAAATAGTTCTCAATCTTCACCATATTTGATTTTCTTGGCACATTTTTTTTTTAAATAACTTTAGTCGTCTTTTAAAATTAGCAAGCGTAAAAATCTCGAATGTTCGGTTTAGATGTTTCTATATTTTTTTTTTCTTTAGACTTTTCTGTTTCTACTTTTTCTTTCAGACCACTCTGATTTTGACCTGTTTCTTTTTATTAAAATTGTAGAATATTAGTTCAACAATACGCATATTGACAAATACAGATAAAATAAAATGCAATAAAGAATCAAGAAAACCTTAAACCGTAGAATATATAGGAAAACACAGACAACAAACATAAAATCATGTAGATGATTTTACAGTGTTTTTCATACAGTGTAAGTCCTGAGAAAGATTCGAGGTAGACTGTTACAGAGTAAGGGGAACAGTTTATCCGGATAGTTTGGGAAGATAACGGTTAACCCTAGACTTGAACAGGTTAGGACTGTAGTGATCGGGAGAACATCCACTTGGTAGTCGGTTCCACAGAGTAGTGGCTTGCAGAAAGAAGCAGCTTGAATGGAACTTATTTCCCACCAATGAAATCCAGAAAGAAATGAGTTTTGTTTCAAAGTAAATATTTGTATATTTAATAACTTTTATTTGTACTTATTCTAGAAAAAAAACGTGGTGTGTACTATTGTTAGAAAATGAAATGAAATTATATTACATATCTTGTTTTAAAAACATATCGCGTTCTTTCCTTTAAGAAAAATATGGTTAACTTGGTCCTAATATGATTTGTATTTATATATGATCTTTTGATCGAAATAAATCGTCTCCATCTATTGATTAACATATAATGCTGTCCAAATTAATTTGTCTTCCATTGTGGGTAAAAGTCTTAAGTAACGCTGAGAACTAGGAAATTAGGATTTTTTGTACTGGATCTGATCGGTGAATTCTCTTAACTTTAATAATGAGATTTTAAGTAAAGAACTATTTGCAAAAGAAAATGAGAACTGGTAATATACATACTTATATTTCATATGTAATAATAATTTTTAAATAATTTAAGTAATTCTATTACATTTATTTGTTTTAAAAAGAAATATAGTCTATTAAGAGTAAAAATAATTTTTAAAATTGTAGTTCAATATAACGTATTCTAACGCAGACATCCCTTTTAGAAAGAATATTTATGTATACAAGTACGAATTTAACGCGGGGGAAAATGCCGAAAAACAGTAGCATGTTAGATCTTTGGTGTTAAGGTCTGAAGTGATGAAACTAAAAAAAAATAAAAATGCAGCTCGTTCGGTCCTTAACATCAAAGATCCACCATGCTCTTAATAAAAAACCAGACGACATGCGTTGAACGGATGTCATAATTCGTTGAAAAATGCACCGCAACCCTACATAGACTTAACCACTTTTTCGACCGTAACTCATAATTGATACAATAATAGTTAATTAAAATGAACATGCTACCGTCCCTGTCTAAATGATTGGATTTCTCTGTATCCTTGGAAACAAAAAATTATGAATTGTATGTGAGTTTAAAACTCAGTAAATTTAAAAATAAGTTATTCCAAAATTTGCTTGAACATGAAAAAGAACTAATGCTTTTAATTAATTTAATTATATAATTAAATTTGAAGGTTTTAGCTTCAGTTTTTGAAACATGGTAATTCCTGTGTAACGAAGAAATCATATTTTTAAATCAGTTAATTTATAATATAAAAATAAAATAGTTTTAAACTACTACTAGGGAGAATAATTAGAATTTATAATTTTCTGTTTATTGCATAGTGAGAAAAATTCCACCGTGAATTATTTAGACCCACCTTGTAATAAGTACCTAAGATAAGATGTTTTCATGCTGAGAGAAACTGGTTACAAAAGTATTACTATTCATGGACATAATATTAATGTTGTTCAAAGGAGGTAGAGTAATAATGTTCATTTGATGGCACTGATGATAGTGTGAAAAGTTATATAGTTATTGTAGCATACTTACGGACGATAATGTGTATGTCCCCATTCACATAAATACATTAGTAAATTATTATTAGTATGTTAGTCTGCAGTCGGAAATTCGTCTCCAGCTGCGCTGGTCAAACACTCTTCCTCCGGGCATAGAGGAAACAGCTACCCGAACCCGTTTTATACGGGGTCTACGGGGAATTTTTGGTCGAGCCTACGGGCTCGGATACCCCACAATAAACTCGGCCTTGTGTCACGTCTGACCACGTAGAGTGGTTGGTAGGTATTCTGAAGTTGGAGATTTGTCTTTAGCTGTGCTGGTTCAGACAAAACTGTGTCGAAAGGCAGAGTCTCGTCTCGGAAAACAGCTACCCTACTCCGTTTTACACGAGGTCTACGGGGAATTTTTGGCCAAGCCTACGGGCTCAGATACCCCACATTAAATTCGGCCTTGTGCCACATCTGACCGCTTGGGCAGGTTGGTCGATATATTGCAGTTGGATATTCGTCTCCAGCGGTGCTGGTCAAACTCTCTACCCTGAGGCAGAGAGGATTCCCAGACGAGGTTATGTCGAAGGGCAGAGTCTCGTCTCGGGAAACAGTTACCCGACCCTATTATATACGAGGTCTACGGGTAATTTTTGGCCGAGCCTACGGACTCGGATACCTCACATTAAATTCGCCCTTGTGTCACATCTTACCGCGCGGAGCGGTTGGCAGATATCCTGCATTTGGAGATTCATTGTGGAATTCACTTAACTCACTTCTAGCAATTGACTACTTCTTCTACGCACCGCTGGCGAATCTTATATGTTTTGTTCTTGTCCTAAGTATTATTGTTCATTACCAACCTTTGTTTGATTATTCTATTCACTAACCTTCCCTAGGTTACAACACTAAGCTAAAAATCAAAATAGTGTATTGGAAAATTGTGCTACACCAATTTTCAAGTGTAGATCAAGTGTATTATAAAACCCAGGTTGTGTGTGTGTGTGTGTGTGTGTGTGTGTGTGTGTGTGTGTGTGTGTGTGTGTGTGTGTGTGTGTGTGTGTGTTCGTTTATATATTGGATCGGATTTCCTACATTTTTCAACCGATTTCAACAAAACTTCACAGGACTACGTATAATTACCTTGCGGTGGTTCTGACAGCGCCAAGAATTGGAAAAACACAATTGTTTTTGCACGAAATCAATTTGAAAACACGATTAAGAGGCATCGCTGACGCGAGAATGAAAGAGGAACAACTCATATCGAGTTATTATAAAAACCCTGGTTGTGTGTGTGTGTGTGTGTGTGTGTGTGTGTGTGTGTGTGTGTGTGTGTGTGTTTCGTTTATATATGGGATCGGATTTCCTACATTTTTCAACCGATTTCAACAAAACTTCACTTTTTTTTGGCTGGTAGTATTTCTTATTGTCTTGCACACTTTTTTCTTTTTTTTTACATTCAGAATGCTTTAAAAATTCCATTTACAAGACAATTGTTTATAATAAAATTCTATTCAATCGGTAGACTTATAACGATTGAAAACAATTTTTTTGTTTGAGTTTGAGTTTGACCAATTCGTAAAAAAAAACTAATTAAGACATGCGTGTGCGTCAACCTTAAACAATAATCTTTGTCAATTTTATTTTTCAGTCTTTACTTGATCTATCTCTTACTGTTACATCCCCGGGCAACGCCGGGGTTTACTGCTAGTAGTATATATATTTAGCATTTGAGTTGGTTTAATCTGGTACAAGGCCAAAAATGTTGAACACCGTATAAGAGATTCAACTCACTTCAGCAACAAGAGTTTGCGAAGCTTGCCAAGGACTATTCTTGGCCGACACGTCTTTAATGACGGTTTTATCAATTGAATTGTAAGATATCAACAATAGTTGTGGCCAGCGTTCATTATTGCTTTATTTTTAATGTTATACCAATAAATATTATGTGCCTGGCTTTCTTTTGCGATTAATTTACAACTGCATAATGCAAAACGTCAAATCAGATAACAAGAAAGATAGGCAACATGAAACAATTTTGTAAAGCGAAAACAACAAATTTTACTTTTGTTAGTTACGTTGGTTCGTTATCGAAAATTTGCCGGGGAAAACATTTTAAAAAATTCCACTTAGAATAAAGGAATCTAATTATCAGTGAAATGCTGTTATAAGTATTTTTCTCCTCGTATTTATTACAAATGCATGATGGAGTTAAAATCGTTTACACAGCCTTGCGGGCGATGATTTTATTTTGCACGCACCAACCTCCTTTCCCACATACGCAACGTCGCAAGCCTATCGCGACTTCATCTTTATTCTCATGTCAAATGTTCGAACTACCTGCATTTTTATTTTTTTTAGTTTCAACACTTTAGACCTTAACACCAAAGATCCACCATGCTACAACAATGGAGTTGAAATATCCTTATTTCCCCCGTATTCCAAATGTCATGAGGAAGGTCCACTCAGTCTTTTCCCACGAACTGCCGTTTGTAGAACGGGATCTCGCGTGTATACTTCATCAATCTTAAGCTCTTCAAGTATATAATCATGATAGCCTATTTCCTAGTCTTACATTAATATCATAGAAAACTTTCAGTAATCCTATGCCTTGAGTAGCTCTTGGTTTAGATGAACAGGAGTAAAAACTGTTTTAAGGAACTTTTCAAAACTGTCAAAATCAATGAAACTTTTAAATTTTACCACTGAGATATTACAACTAATAATGATTCCTCCAAGGATTTAAATTTGACTGACATTTCAGACACAATGAAAATGAAAAAATTACTATCTGTCGCACAAGAAAGATAGACAATTCTCTTAGATTCAGTCTCCATTATCGCTGACGCAACATAAAATATCCTGCGATTCCACAAATAAAGTCAAGTGCATAAGGAAATCCCAAATAATTCAAACGAAGTGTGGAAGTAAAGTTGACGCAATTGAGAAATTTTAGATATCTAATAGAAGAGGAGGTTTATTTATTTTTTTGGTGGGGGAAACTTCCGACCCACCCTGGGTGCATTAAGACCACCCTGTTTATTAGCACTTTTTAACACGCGAAATTATTTTTACACGCTTTTATTAAAACTCTTTTCCCCTGGGTAGACGTGTATGTACGTTTTTTACTGAAAATGTCTTTTTCAGACAAGAACGAATAAACACGTCCATAACATAATGTTCTAAACCCAGCTACAGACGTGTTTATACATCGAGCTTCATTCTTTTTATGATCGTCTGAGCTAAATCCGAGTCTAGTTTTCAGCTCATACGTCTGCTATTGGTGTTAGACACCGCTCAGTTACTTCAAGATGTCTCAGTTTCTTAGTTGCTATGTTAAAACTAACTAAAAAATGAACTGAAAATGAAACTTTTTTTTTCCAAAATATTAGGCAAGGAAGGGTTTAAGACGTTCTGTTTATTTCATATTGAGTAAAGTTCGTCACTCCAATTATTAAGGCTTTCCTCTTATATTAAGCATCTGAGAAGGTGTTTGGAATCAAGTGGAGATATGATAATGCATTATTGTATTATTTGAAGAGAATTTTGTCTCGAAGAAATAATAATTATGTTGATGATGATTTATGAAGAGAAAGGGACTGAAATAAGAGAAATTATGAAAATGAGAACAATAAAATCGAATTTAGCCAAGAAACGACTTTTCACGTACTAAATAGTTTCTATCATAAATATGGCAGCTGCGAGATTGAAACTATTCCTTTAAAAATCTCTTCAATAAAGTCTGACTTGTCTATTTGGATCTTCTTCTTGAAGAGCTCTCAAGTTTTCCAAAGCTTGCACATGGAAAGCAAATTTCAGAAAACTACTAAATGGGAGTTTATTGCCAAATGAATTTTTTATATGAATTGAAAAATGGTAAAGTCAAAAATAAAATCATGAACAAGATAGCAACATTTTCGTATTTCAGGAGAACTCCGATTCCAAAAACGACAATTGTGAGTACAATGCCGCGTATAAAGTGCTAGGGAAAATTTAGCAAGCATCATCATAATAATAATAATAATAATAATAATAAAGCAAACCACCCAGACATTGTTATTAGAGACCGCAAACAAAAAGAGTGCCTCCTTATTGATATAGCAGTCCCTGCTGACTGCAATGTATCTTTGAAGATATTCAAAAAGCTATCAAAATACAATGACCTTGAAATCGAAATCTTAAAAATGTGGCACATGGGAGCATCAACAATCTCTGTTGTAGTTGGAGCCCTCGGATTGGTTGTAAAAGATTCCAGTAGACTAATTGAAGTGATTCCTAGAAGTCCATGTCTTAAAAAATACAAAAATCTCATGATTACAGCCCACGCCTTACGAAGGGCTTTATCAATGTAAAATATGTTTGTGTTTTTTTGTGTGTGATTTTTTTTTAATTGGTCAGTGGAAAATATGATGCCATTTCTAACCTTAGGTCTCTGAGCGGGACCCGGAAAGAAATGTGTACAAACCAGAAATCAAAGAAAATAATAATAATAATAATAATCCTCTCTCTAGCCAATAGTCTTCTCACTCCTCTCTCTAATCTTTAGTCTTCTCAATTCTCTCTCTAGTCTTTAATCTTCCCACTCCCGTCTTTAGTCTACTCACTCCTCTCTTTCTCTAGATTTTAGTCTTCTTACTTCTCTCTTTAGCAATTATATACCTCTCTGACCTTCTCACTTCAGGCTTCAGATTCCTCTCTCTAATTATTTAGTCTTCTCACTCATCTCTCTCAAGTTTTTAGTCTTCTTCCTTCGCTCTTTAGTCTTCATATCCCTCTCTCTAGTCTTTTCACTCCTCTCATTCTTGTCTTTAGTCTTCATACTCCTCTCTCTAGTCTCTTTTCCGTCTTTATATTTCTCTCTCTAGTCTTCTCATTCCTCTCGCCCTCTCTCTCTCTCGCTCTCTCTCTCTCTCTCTCGCTCTCTCTCTCTCTCTCGTCATTAGCCTTCTCTTTCCCCTGTCTAGTCTTCTTACTCCTCTCTCTAGTCTTTAGTCTTCCCACTCCCGTCTTTAGTCTTCTCACTCATCTCTCTAGGTTTTGCTCTCCTTTTTATAATCTCTGCTTCACTCAGTCTCCACTGAACAAACTCTGTTCTTTCTGTGCACTCTCCTCTGTTGAATAATTTAAGCTTGGGTCACAACTTTTACATTAGATTAACATCTGACATCTCTGCCAAGGTTATTCTATTAATTCGCTATCATTGAAACCATTTCTTTTTTTTTTTTCAGAAGAATCACTGCAGAATGTAAGTGTCGGATGCTTTCTATGAATATATTCTTTAGCTTGAACAGTTTTTTGTTCTCATCTGTGACAATAAAAAAAATGTTCAAGAACTTACAGTAATTCACTGCATTTATCTTGACACCATCACCAACCTGTAAAGAACCTATAATTTTTCTGTGTACCAACCCAGAATATTACACCACCTATTTAACTATTTTCTTGAAGGACCTCTTCTTGAGACCAACGATGGAGTCCAGCCATTGTAGCGTCTAATATTTTCTTGTTGAAGCCAGTTGGAAATATCTTTTTGTTTGGACTATATTCAAAATTGTTAATGAATTTTCAATGTTCACATCACGCAATATATTTACAATAATTTGGTTCTTTTTTGAAACTATATATTTCTTATAATCCTTTTGCAATATCTGTCTGAAATTGAAAAATAAGTATCATATATATATATATATATATATATATATATATATATATATATATATATATATATATAAAAAGGCTTAAACACTAATATTCCATGGTCATAATTTATTCCATTTGAATCGTAAATACGATCCAATTCATCAGACCTACAAATTCAAAAAGAAAACAGAAAAAACAACTCCGGGAATAAAAAATAAAATTTAGTGAGACTGTATGTATGAGAGTGTGGGACGAATGTTAGAGTAAATGAAAGCTATAGAGAGGGGAACAGGCGAGAGTAGAACAGGAAGGTCAAAAGATGAAGGGGAGGAATTAAAATTTAACAGAGAGAAGTTTTAACGTTTTAAAGTTTTTAGATATATGATTGCATATGTATGTGTATATTTACCACTAATATTATCTATCTATCTATCTATATATATATATATATATATATATATATATATATATATATATATAGAGAGAGAGAGAGAGAGAGAGAGATAGATAGATAGATAGATAGATAGATAGATAGATAGATAGATTATGAAATGGATTCAGTCCGACAGTTATTTTAATATATTTATTGTTTATACGTTATTTTTATAGATACAAATATTTAAGTAAATGCTATGTTTATAATAAACAGTATTAACGACATTTACCGGCCTGAATGTCCAAGAAATGTCATAGAAAATATGTCATCTGACAAGAATTAAACCAGTATCCTACACGAAAACTTGACCTTGCTAACCAGACGCTTCCTATCTATCTATCTATCTATCTATCTATCTATCTATCTATCTATCTATCTTTAAGTGGTGTATTCTCCGAAGGTATGTTAAAAACTTTCATTCTGAATTCCTAAGTTTAGTATATTCGTTTACTAGTAAAATCTGTAATGTGTACTTAGTAATAAATATCTGTCTATTGCCGAACTGTTGTTGATGATGAACTACCCAAGAGCTCTATAAAAATCGCTTTGATCTTTATTAAACTTTCCAATTATTTCCAAGTCTGACATACAATGCGTGTGACCGGGGAAGAAGAAAATAATTAAAATACACACAGTTTGGATTGATGAAATATGCTTTTAAGTATAACTATAAATAACAGTTTTCTGAGTTTGTAAAATAAAATAAAGTCTTTTCAACTTTCATTATTCAACATCCACATATCCAAGATATTTGGTCGAAAAAGGAGGAATAAAATTAACCTTTATCAGTGTGTCTAGATGTATGTATGATGTATATACATTGTTCATTTATATATTATGAAATGGACTAAATCCAAAAATCATTTTAATATATTTATTGTTTATACGTTATTTTTATAGAAAAAAAATATTATTATAGATAGGTATCTTTTGCGTTAAGATATGATTCGAGCAGATATGAGCGTTCGAGAGAAATCATGGGAGCTTGTTGTTCAAAAACAGTAATATAACATTCCTCTGTAGCTAAATGCTATAGCACGTCAGGCTATATGGAGGTTCCGTGTAAGATACAGGTTCGATTCCTGTCGGAAGATACATATTTTCTTTGAAATTTCTCGGACATTCAGGCCGGCAATTATTGTTTATTTATACTGTGTATTTATTTATTTATTTATTATAAAAAAAGCATTTACTTAAATATTTGGCTCTATAAAACAACGTATAAACAATATCTATCTATAGCTGTTTCATGCTGGACATAATCGTCAGGCGGCCTGATGATTACGACCAGCATGAAACAGCCCGTCGCCTCTGAGTGTTAACTTCAATGTTCACTCTCTGATATTAAACACTTTATCCCATTAATATAGCACACCTCAAAACTATATTTCTTCATATATATTTTAAGACATTTTTTATGTTTATACGTTCTTTTTATAGATACAAATATGCGTCTTTTTTATAGATACAAATATGCTTCCTCCGACGGAAATCAAAACTGTATCCTGTACGGAACCGTCATATAGCCTGACGTCCTTTTAACGATTGAGCCACAGAGGAGCGTTTCGGTTAGCAAGGTCGATTTTACTGGGGGGGGTGCTAAACGCTCCTCTGTGGCTCAATCGGTAAAAGCAAGTCAGGCTAAATGACAGTTCTGTATAGGATACACGTTCGATTCCTGTCGGAGGACGCATATTTTCTATGAAAATTTCTCGGACATTCAGTCCGGTAAATGTCGTTAATACTGTTTATTATTAACAGAGCATTTACTTAAATATGTGTATCTATAAAAAGAATGTAAATTTTTCTAAATAAACCAAAATTAATAAAATAACAAATAGCACTAAATCACTGACTATACTTTCAAGTATCCACATACTACATGAATGTATTTCAGTTGCTAGCACAATTCTCAAAGTATTTTTGTTTCCACCAAGTCAAACCTTTGTATTAATTATTATTGTGATCAGTTTAAGACATTAAAATTACATAATTTATTTTTTTATATCCTTCCGTAATCATTTTTATTGCTTTTTCTATTGGATTTTTTCACAGAAGACAGAAAATAATTATAAGATAAAGAAGGATAGGGAGAGAGAAATAACTTAATGATATTACACATATTAAAATCACTTGTCAATTTTGAATGTTTTATGCTTCTTTTATGGCAAACCTTACCACTGAATAGACATTTATTTCCCTAATTTCATTTAATTAAGATAATCAAACCTACTCTCTCTACAATAATTAACACCGAATCATCTACTTAAAAAAATCAAGGTATATATTTTATTTACATGAAAATGAACATTAAAATTTCACAATTTACCAAAGTCAATTGCTATCTCAAGATAAAAATCTATAATATAAACAACATATATGAACTCTTCAAAAAAAAAATGGGGGACCTAATATTATTTCTTAAAACAGTGGACCTCTGACGTATAATATTATAAATTATTATAATTAAAAAATTTTTAAAAATGTATAACGACGTATAATATTATAAATTATTATAATTAAAATTTTAAAAAAATGAAAACATTTCTTGTAAAAAAAAAATTCAATATTCACCAAAATAATTTTTTCTTAAGAATAGTGCCCTTAATAAAATATTTATAATAGTAATTAAAAGCTTCTCTATGTAAATAATGTCATAGTTTCATTGCATTTTTTTTTACGATTCAGAGCAGATTTTTGGTAACTGGGGGGGGGCTTTTTTACAAAAAACAACTGATGATTTAAGTTCTCCAAAAAGTCCTACTTTTAACTAATAAAACAACTTTTTAGACTGAAATTAAATTTCTTGAAATTTCATGATGTAAAAAAAATTATTTTTTACCAAGATTTTCTAAAAAAATATATTTTCTACCAAGATTTTCTAAAAAAGTAAAATTAAAAAATAATTTCATTTGTTTGTGAATAAGTCCTAAAAGTTTCATTAAAATCGAACAATTATTTGATTTTTGCAAGAATTTCAAAATCAATGTATTTTTCACCTGTAAAAAAAGATTTTTAACCAAAACTTCGAACGTGCTAGAAAGGATTAAAATTAATAAAAAAATACTTTGGTCTTTCCTCTTAATAACAACAAACATCTTGACGATAAAGCTTTCTTTTTATTAAGTTTGGGGTCTTTTTTCATCATGCTATACTTTTTTTCTTTTTTTTTTTTCAGCGAAAAAGCGAGACTTAGTAGAGGTACCTATTTAGATTTCAAAATAGCAATTAGGAAATAAGCAAAAAGCACTGCGGTGGAAAACGACCCACTCTGAATTAAAAACATTTGAAAAAGACCATTGAATTGGGTTTGGGGCAAAAGCGTAATGTTAAATATACAACTGTTTACGAACATCTCAAGCATATACGAAAAACTTGCAAAGAGCGAATTTGGGTTCATTATGAGATTTCACGTGAGACCGAACGCAACGTTACACTATTTGCAGTAGTTTTTTTTTTTTTTTTTTTTTTTAATCAGGAATCTTAGCCTCTCATTTTTGCATCGTATTGTTACAGGTGGTGAAAAATGGGTTTCACATGTCAACAGAAAGCGAAAAAGATAGTAGTTGACACGAAATGAGAAATCAGTGCCAACACCAAAAACCATGACTCCATCTATAGAAGTCCTTGTTTCCTGCCTGGTGGAATATGACGGAAGGTGACATCCATTATAAGCTTTTGAAACGTGTCAAGATCACCCCTGCTGATATTTATCACAGTAACTTGATGGGTAAGCAAAGCGTTATGTCGAAAGTGTCCTGCTTTCGTAAACAGAAAATCTATTATCGTGCAAAAAAGGCACACTCTTCCAAACAATCCCAAGAAAAAGTCAGATCTGTAGGATAGGTGATTCTTCCAAAACTAATTTTTACCAGATTTAACGCATACAGATTTTGTTTCGTTCATCGGAACATTTCATAAATGGCAGAATATTCAGAAACAAAGTTGCAAACAAGCTCTTACATTATTCCGGGCAAAAAATATGGAATTGGAAAATCTTCTTCGACAGTCGTTGGAAATTAAATTAAAATTGATTACATTTTCGATAAATCGTATATAAATAAATGTAACTTACATTTGTTTTTCTAGTCTTTCTTGTAAAATGTATTAATTTCCTAAAACTGTAATATCTACATATATAAACATTTGTATTTTTAATAAAAGTACGTACTCTTGATTATCAACATGCTAAAATGCGATGAAAATATTTGATACAAGAAACAGCCTATCGAAATTTCAAGGATTGGTGTTAACAAAATAATTGACATGGTGATAGATTATTTCTCGGACTGAAGCAAACTTAAAAGAATAAACAATAAAAAATAATTCACATGCAATGTTTATCAAAGGTTTTCAATATATGCAAAATTAAATTATAAGAATCTATGATATCTGTCTATATCTCTGAGATGAGGTATTATGATTACTTGCATTATTTGGACTGTTATTCACAATGTTTCGGTCGCTGAATTTCGAAATGAACCCTTTATTTCGTCCACCGTGGTCGATTGTTCTAGTTCCACGTGCCATGTCTCTTCCGGGTGTTACAGTTATTTCCCTTTAACTCAACTCTACAATTTTGGTTCACCTAATATTGAACTCGGTATTGAACTCACAACTCTTTGAGTCTAGTCAGTGGATCTAACAAACGCCTTTATCCACAGGGCCATGCCAAGAACATCCTTGTATGAATTTTTGGGACTTATAAACCCAGTGTCTCAATGTTTTTACCAGTGCTCATATTGCAATTTTTTTCTGTTGTTATTATTGTATCTTTTTTTTTTTTTTTACCAGAGCTTATATTCTTGTTATTCATTGGTTTTCTCTAGCATTCTTTATTACTGGTTCCCATATTGTATTCACTTCTATACTTGGTCGGCACAGGAGATTTTTGTGGCCTAGCATATGTGCTGATTCTTTAGGCTTTCGTATTTTCCAGTGATGCTCTCTGTTTAATATAAGCTCTGGTAAAAAAAAAATAGTTGAGTTAAAGGGAAATAATTGAGACATCCGGAAGAGGTACGGCACGTGGAACAAGAACAATTTACCCCGGTGGACGAAATAAAGGGTTCGTTTCAAATACCTTGAAGAAGGCTGGAAATGCTGTGAATAGGGCAATGAAGATGAGGATAACAGTCCGTATAATGTAAATAATGCAAGTAAGAATCTATGAAGATCTAGAAAAGCAAACCAGCCAATTAGTGGTACTCATGTTTCTTCTGAAAAAAAATGTTACTTTATTTCAAAACAGGTTTGACTTTTTGAATTTTACGCATTTTATGAATTAAATTCTCATGATTTCTTATAAGATATAAATGCATATTTTTAATTATATCTATATATTTTGGTATTTAATGAATTTCTTTTATTGTGAAATATTTCAGAATTATTTTCAAATCTATCTCTCAAAGGGTGAGAGAGATTCAAAAACCGTCGTCAATGGATATTCCTTCATGAAATATTATGGATTTATTGTGCATAAATTCTTAGACATTTGCAAAATCTGCAGATGTCACAGTTCTAGGATAAAAAAAAATATAATTTTTTCCCAATTAGGGTGATCTACTTTTCAAAATATTGTTATTGTTAGTAATAGCTCTCACCACATTCAAAAAAGAGATGTTTCGAATTTGACAAAATGCATTTTTCTGAAACATTACATTTTACATAGATTGTAATTCGCATCTTCGTTTCATATAGACTGTCACGAACATCTTCGTTTCACATAGACTGGCACGCGCCTCTTCGTTTCACATAGACTGGCACGCGCCTCTTCGTTTCACATAGACTGGCATGCGCCTCTTCGTGTCACATAGATTGTAATTCGCATCTTCGTTTCACATAGACTGGCACGCGCCTCTTCGTTTCACATAGACTGGCACGCGACTCTTCGTTTCACATAGACTGGCACGCGACTCTTCGTTTCACATAGACTGCACGCGCCTCTTGGTTTCCCCCATAGACTCTCACGCGACTCGTCGTTTCAGATAGATTGTCATTCGCATCTTCGTTTCACATAGACTCTCACGCGCCTCTTCGTTTCTCATAGACTGTCACGCGCCTCTTCGTTTCACATAGGCTGGCACGCGCCTCTTCGTTTCATAGAGGCTGGACACGCGACTCTTCGTTTCAGATAGATTGTAATTCGCATCTTCGTTTCACATAGACTGTCACGCGCCTCTTCGTTTCACATAGACTGGCACGCGCCTTTTCGTTTCACATAGACTGTCACGCGCCTATTCGTTTCACAGAGACTGGCACGCGCCTCTTCGTTTCACATAGACTAGCACGCGCCTCTTCGTTTCACATAGACTGTCACGCGCCATTTCGTTTCACATAGACTGGCTCGCGCCTCTTCGTTTCACATAGACTATCACCCGCCTTTTCGTTTCACATAGACTGGCACGCGCTTCTTCGTTTCACATAGACTGGCACGCGACTCTTCGTTTCAGATAGATTGTAATTCGCATCTTCGTTTCACATAGACTGTCACGCGCCTCTTCGTTTCACATAGACTTTCACGCGCCTCTTCTTTTCACATAGACTGGCACGCGCCTCTTCTTTTCACATAGACTGGCACGCGCCTCTTCGTTTCACATAGACTGGCACGCGACTCTTCGTTTCACATAGACTGGCACGCGACTCTTCGTTTCACATAGACTGGCACGCGACTCTTCGTTTCACATAGTCTGGCACGCGCCTCTTCGTTTCACATAGTCTGGCACGCGCCTCTTCGTTTCACATAGACTGTCACGCGCCATTTCGTTTCACATAGACTGGCTCGCGCCTCTTCGTTTCACATAGACTGGCTCGCGCCTCTTCGTTTCACATAGACTATCACCCGCCTTTTCGTTTCACATAGACTGGCACGCGCCTCTTCGTTTCACATAGACTGGTACGCGACTCTTCGTTTCAGATAGATTGTAATTCGCACCTTCGTTTCACACATTTCGACTGTCACGCGCCTCTTCGTTTCACATAGACTTTCATGCGCCTATTCGTTTCACATAGACTGGCACGCGCCTCTTCGTTTCACATAGACTGGCACGCGACTCTTCGTTTCACATAGACTGGCACGCGACTCTTCGTTTCAGATAGATTGTAATTCGCAGACCTCTTCTTCGTTTCACGCACCTTTTCGTTTCTGTCTCTTCGTTTCACATAGACTGTCACGCGCCTCTTCGTTTCACATATACTGGCACGCGCCTCTTCGTTTCACATAGACTGTCACGCGCCTCTTCGTTTCACATAGACTGGCACGCGCCTCTTCTTTTCACATAGACTGGCACGCGCCTCTTCGTTTCACATAGACTGGCACGCGCCTCTTCGTTTCACATAGACTGGCACGCGCCTCTTCGTTTCACATAGACTGGCACGCGCCTCTTCGTTTCACATAGACTGGCACGCGCCTCTTCGTTTCACAAAGCCTAGAACACACCTCATCGTTTCACATAGATTGTCACGCGTCTAGTGATTTAAAAGATAATTTCCGGGAAAAATCTGAAATTCAAATCACTCTAAATTTATTGCAGTTATCCATTGTTGTTTGGCAACGACAAGTAAAGGTCTAGTAAACTTTGTTTTGAATTGTCTAATTAATATATTAGAATACATCAAACCGAGCCTCACCCCAAAATATTAATAGAAATATTAAACTATTTTCTTTCCTTCCGTTGTGGGTAACATTTGCTTTGATAAAAAGATGTACAAAATCAACATTAATTGAAGTTGACAGCTTGACAGTCATCAAGTAAACATCAAAGCAGCAGTTAAAAAATTAGGAAGAGAAATGATCTAATCTCTTTTTGAATTATGAAATAAACGATATTCATAAAATATTTATGAAATAGACATACAAAAACGATTAGTTTGTATCGTGGGAACATACTTTTCAACAATAGCGGATAAAACCTCGCCGACACTAACCGAAAGACGCACACGCGGATAGAGACATATCGTCAAAGTAAATAAAATAGGTAAAATTATATATACATCCTCTGAAACATATTTTCTTTTAAAGAAATTTGTACATTTTGGACTGGTTTGTACTTAATTGCATTGCAGTAGAACTTTTCAATCCTTTAAAGTGAAAGTTTATTAAAAGGAATGCTACTTGTTCTGAATCAGCCTCATTATTTATTCACGTATCTTATGTTGCTTGATTGATTAATTTCTGTTTTACGGTTTATCAACCCATTGCAGGCTATTTAAAGTCAGTAAAATAATCTTAGATTGTAGAATTTTTGGAGATAATAGTTTACTATCTGTCTATATTTCTGAGATGAGGTATTATGTACATTATTTACATTATTCGGACTATTGTCCTCATCTTTGTCGTCATATTTATTACAACGTTTCGGCCGTTGTGCGCTCCGGCCTTCTTCAGGTGGTTGGAATGTCGAACTGAACCCTTTATTTTGCTCACTGGGGTAGACTATTCTAGTTCCACGTGCCATGTTTAATGGATGTCAGTTATCAGTTATCTCCTTGAGGACACATGGTACAGTTTATAAAGGCGTTGGTTAGATCCAGTGACAGGACCCAAAGAGTGTGAGTTCAATACCCGGTTATGGCAGTGGAGAACTTTCAGAGGAAAATTAACAGGAGATAACTGATCTACCTACCCCAGTGAGCAAAATAAAGAGTTCAGTTCGATATTCCAACCACCTGAAGAAGGCTGGAGCGTACAACGACCGAAACGTTGTAATAAATATGACGACTAAGATGAGGACAATAGTCCGAATAATGTAAATAATGTACATAATAGTTTACTGATACAACTCCTACTAATTAACCTATAGCCGAGAGAGAAGAGATGAATTCATACCTTTCCAAAGGGCATTTACGCGTAACGAACTCGACTGGAACTGGAACTCAGTTAAGCGATTTCCATCTACACATCCAAGCTTAAAGCACTTGGTACTCCCAAGCGGTTACCCTTTTACGTACTGTCCAGGCTCGACATTGCTTAACTTCGCTAATTGTACGGGAACGTGTGTTTCAACGTGATATGGCCGTAAGCCAAAATTAGAGTGCATACATCATCTGATATTCCCAAGCGGTTAACCATCTAGGTACTGACCAGGCTCGACATTGCTTAACTTCAGTGATTGTACGGGAACGTGTGTTTGAACGTGATATGTCCATAAGCCAAAATTAGAGTGCACACAGCACCTGGTATTCCCAAGGGCTCACCCACCTAGGGACTGGCCAGGCTCAACATTGCTTAACTTCGGTGATTGTACGCAAACCGGTGTTTCAACGTGAAATGTCCGTAAGCCGTATTGGGAAGATTATTAATGCTTAGTTAGAGAGCGTGGGATTTGGCGTATGTTTTCTCAGAGGATGTTACAGTCTGATAACTTCACTGGTCAGCATTCACGGTTTAAAACAAAATCTAATCGGCTCACTTATTAATCCCTCGTTTAATCTCTTGATCCATCTGTCTCGAAAATAAAAATAAAAATTATAATGAAAAGAGATTTCGATGTACATTGAAATTCACTTGTCAGATCTTAATTTCGTGATGAATTTACTAATTAGTTTAAGACGCTAACATGGAGGGTTTGCAAAGAACTTACGTCGATCACTTGTTCATTATTTTAATTGCTTGAAACCAGTTTTATGGGGACTATTTTTAATATGAGGTTGTCAAAATTGTAGATAGAAAATGAATTGAGCAAGTACAAAAAATAAAAAAGAGATGCACGACAGGCAATCGTCTTCTCACGGGAATTATTTAACCCATAGCGCGAGGACATCCTACTAAAATTTATTACTCTAGGCACAAACTTAACAATAAAATCTACACAGCAGACAAAATGTTGATCGCATATGTAGAAAAGAAATTGTAGTAATTTCTCGACAAGAAATCGGGAAGATAGAATGTGTGGTCTTCAGCAAAAAAAAAAAACAAGAGCTAAAGTTGAAAGCTACAAAATGGAGATGTCAAAACCCAGCCAGAACAGAATATAACTATCAGAAGTGTTTAAACAAACACGGAAATTATGACACAGAAATCCGAAGACGCATTAGAATAGAGAAAAATGCCCCCAAAAGTTAAAAGTATTAAAAAACAAAGTGCTGAATTGCTATATAATATTAATCCTCTTGTATATCGGTCAATGCTGGATAATTCACTTGCTGATGAGACGAAGCGTCAGTTATGGTGTTCTACAAAAGAATACTGAGAAATCCATCGATGGGGTATGTGTCTAATATATAATACTGTTGACCAATTATACTACTAGTAACAAAATGAAACATGATGTCAAGAGAGAGATCGTGGAATGAAGAGGGAGTTTAAATGTTAGAAATGTAAACGAAAATGACATTTATATTTAGTATTAGAGATAGCTGAAATTTCAGGGATACATGATGAGGAAAAGGGGCTTGGAGGATTTGAAAGCCCCGGATGAATTGAAGGGAAGAGATAAAAGAAATGAACGAATAATCTAACGTGCTTTTGTCAATACAGGGAGTGTGAGGAATAATAAAAAGGCCTACATTGCTAAAAGCTAAAAGAGATAGGAAGTTGTGAAAAGACATCATCGTCCACACCAGATAATAGAAAAACAAAAGATGATTAATGGCCTGAGTAAAGATTAAGATGAAAGCAAATAAAAGTGAAAAATTAAGAATAATAGTTGACAAGGCTTTAGCTAATTAAAAAAATATATAGTACTATTTATACTACTAGTAACAAAATGAAACATGAAGTTAAGAGAGAGATCGAGGAATAAAGAGGGAGTTTAAATGTTAGAAATGTAAGCGAAAAAGACATTTATATTTAGTATTAGAGATAGCTGAAATTTCTGGGGTACATCATGAGGAAAAAGGGCTTGGAGAATTTGACAGTCACATGATATATTGAAGGCAAGAGATAAAAGGAATAAACGAATGATGTAACGTGCTTTTGTCAATTGTTGACAGAACAGGGAGTGTGAGGAATAGTAAAAATATTGGTAACAAACATTGGTAAAAGCAAAGAGAGATAGGACGGTATGAAAAGACATGATCGTCCACATCAGATAATAGAAAAAGACTAACTTAGTTTTACTACACATAAGATAATGAATACTTGGTAAAAAGATAAAGAATTCGCATTATTCTGACCATTTGTCCTCATCTCTATTGCCATATTCACGATGTTTCGGTCGTTGTACGCTCCGGTCTTCTTCGGGTGATTGGAATTTCGAACTGAACCCTTTATTTCGACCACAGGGGTAGGTATATCGTTTTTGTTCCGAGTATCTCTTCCGCATGTCTCAGTTATCTCTCTATAACCCAACTATTCAAATTTTTGTTCACCACTGCAGTAGCTAGGTATTGAACTCACAACTCTTTGGGTCAAGTCACTGGATCCAACCGACGCTTTTATATACTAAGCCATGCGTTCTTACAATACTTCATCTCAGAAATATAGGTAGAAAAGAAAAAATGGTAAAATTCTATGGTGACTTAAATATAGTGCAGTATGGTATAACCACTGACCATAATTCTGTTTTACAAACACAAATTTATTACTCCGTATTATCAGTGATCTAAATCAGCCCATCTCTGAACAAAATGTCGCTCTATTATTAAATAAGCAGAGTAATATGAACTGATTGAAATTACTAGGCTTCTGCTGAACCGAATCATCTTAATATCCACAGGGTATCTAGCCACCCATTGAGATATCTACGCAATTCACTCTGAGAAGCAATGTCGTTGTAAAGATGCAAATGATTTATCAGACAGGTGCTTTCACACAGACATCCTTAACTACAAAGAAATTTTAGAGAAGAGGACAATAAAAATTGTGCAACAAAGAAATAGAAAACTAGAGGGAAACAAAAAAAAACAGTTTTAATAAATTTTCATGAGGAAAGAAAGTGGCTTGAAAATTGTTTCTTCTGTGTTCATTGCAAAAATGAAATCCAAATGACTGTAATCACTGATTTCAACTTTGGTTACAAGATTAGGTAATTCATTTGCCAACCTTTTCGCATCCTGAAAATAATAAGAAAAATGGTATATAAAATATGTATATTCATAGAAAAAAAACTCTACTCTGTATTTCCACCACCCCCCGTCTATCTCAGTCTGTTCTATTTACACTATTTACATTGTTTGAACTGTTGTCCTCATCTTTATTGCCATATTCACCTTCAACATCTGTCTCTATTTCTCAGATGAGGTATTGTAACTATTTACATTATTTACATTGTTCCGACTGTTGTCCTCATCTTTATTGCCATATTCACCTTCAACAACTGTCTCTATTTCTCAGATGAGGTATTGTAACTATTTAGCCTATTTACATTGTTCGGACTGTTGTCCTCATCTTTATTGCCATATTCACCTTCAACATCTGTCTCTATTTCTCAGATGAGGTATTGTAACTATTTACACTATTTACATTGTTCCGACGGTTGTCCTCATCTTTATTGGCATATTCACCTTCAACATGTCTCTATTTCTCAGATGAGGTATTGTAACTATTTACACTATTTACATTGTTCGGACTGTTGTCCTCATCTTTATTGCCATATTCACCTTCAACATCTGTCTCTATTTCTCAGATGAGGTATTGTAACTATTTACATTATTTACATTGTTCCGACTTTGTCCTCATCTTTATTGCCATATTCACCTTCAACAACTGTCTCTATTTCTCAGATTTGTAACTATTTAGCCTATTTACATTGTTCTGTTGTCCTCATCTTTATTGCCATATTCACCTTCAACATCTGTCTCTATTTCTCAGATGAGGTATAGTAACTATTTACACTATTTACATTGTTCCGACGGTTGTCCTCATCTTTATTGCCATATTCACCTTCAACATGTCTCTATTTCTCAGATGAGGTATTGTAACTATTTACATATTTACATTGTTCCGACTGTTGTCCTCATCTTTATTGCCATATTCACCTTCAACGTCTGTCTCTATTTCTCAGATGAGGTTTGTAACTCACTATTTACATTGTTCATGTTGTCCTCATTATTACTGTCATATTCACGACGTTTCGGCCGTTGTACGCTCCGGACTTTTTCAAGTGGCATACGTTGAGATTTCGAACCGATCTCATGACTTAGCCCACTGGTGTAGTTTGTTCTCGTTCCACGTGTCATGCCTTTTCTAGATATCTACACTTTCAGTTAATTCTATTTAATAACTCAACTCTCCAAGTTTTTGTTCACCTTTGCTGTGACCAGGAATTGAACTCACAACTCTTTGGGTCAAGTCACTTTTTGGATTGCTTCAAACAACGCTTTTATGGCCTAGTGGATTAAAGCATTGGTTGAAGTAATCTAAATGTGACTTGAGCCAAATTGTTATGAGTTCAATTCCTGGCCACACCAGAAGTGAACAAGACTTGGAGAATTCAGTTACTAAATAGAATTAACTGAAACTGAGATATCCAAAGGCATAGAACGTGGAATTCGAACAATCTACCTCCGTAAATTAAATAAAGTTTTCGGTTCGAAAGTATATCTCCTGAAGAAGGCCGGAGTGTAGAACGTCCGAAACGTCGTCAATATGACAATAAAGATGAGGACAATAGGCCGAACAATGTAAATAGTTACAATATCTTATTTTAGAAATATAGACAGATGTTAGTCTGTTCTAGGTACAAAATTTACCAAGAAGTATGAAAGATTTGATTACTTACTCTCTACTTATTATTTGGAAATTCGCAAGATAATAACAAGTCGTTGAGAGTGAATTAAATCATATAATATCTATCTATCCATATATTTATTTGGTTCATTAAAAATCTAACTCAAGGCTATGCAGAATCACGCTGTTTCAAGTGACCCTTTTACAATAATCGAGCCAGCATGACATTTTCATGTTCGAAAACTGTTTTTATGACCTGAGACGAAGTTATTACTTGAATCTGAATTATATAATCTCTATATAAGCATTTCTCAAACGTTTTAGTCTGAAAACCCACGAAATAGGTTTAATGTATCAGCTTTATATACATAAAATTATTATATACCATTATTAATATCTCTTTTATATCATAGTGCACCTGATAAATATAATATAGACATAGTGCATGCGTCCTGTACTCGAATCCGTCCGGGGTATGACGATAAACTACATGCAGCAGCAAAGCTTCTGATCAAAAGGTTTTGAGAAGCGTGGAACCATCTCTTAATTGCTGTTGTTCCCAGGTCCAGCCTGATCCGGGGTGGTAGCACCCGTTAGGGTCCCAGCTATTAGTTAGCCTCAAACTGGGTTCAAAATACCATGAAAGTATAAACATTTTTATAGTAAAA